GTGTGTGTGTGTGTGTGTGTGTGTGTGTGTGTGTGTGTGTGTGTGTGTTTGTGTGTGTGTGTGTGTGTATGTGTGTAGTGTGTAACTGGTCCGATTAGCCAACGATGACGACGGTGAGTACAGTATAACATAATAATAACGTATCTATAATTCATTATTATATAGATACGCGCGCGCATTATGCCTCATTACTTTTGACGAATATCATACTATTCCCATGGAACAAGGTTAGTCTGAAGAAGAAAAAATGAATTATGAAAAAAATTTAAAAACGCACACAAATTGTCTCGTTTATTGTACGCGCGTTACCGCCGCTCAAGGATACCGATGCGTCGTCCTGAAACTAAATATCAAAGTCGCGCGTATATATGTGTACAGTCATCGGATACCAAAAACGAGTGACTTTGTTTCGTTTAATATACTTTTCTTTTCGTTTCGGAACCCGTTTGAGTTACAAAAATTATCGACTCTGTTTCGTTTAAGTAACGTTAATTTTAATTTCTGAACCGGTTTGGATTCGAAGAAATGTGTACTTTTATTTCTTAATAAAACACCGTGTCTTAACGCCCCGCAATCCGACCAATCGTTTGGAATCGGTCTTCGCAGTTACTTTTTCCGAGTTGAACAACTAGATTTTTACGTACGAACGATCGAACGTGATAGCAGAATGTCTGAAGTATCTGTACGTGATTTGTTTCGTACGAGTATCGAAGCTATGTAGTTCATCTTGATAAGTAATAACGATAATATGGTGTTTAAAACACCGCAACTCGCATGTACGAAATAATATTGTTGTTATATTTATATAATATAATATTTATATATATTATAAGCGCAATCGTGCGCGCGACGCAAAAAATGCACCCGCAGCTAACTTATTTCGCACCGAAAGTAACTAGTTAAAGTTACCAAATCGACGTGAGTCGTACTCGAGCCTCGGTTACCAAAATAGTTGGGCAATTCGTCCGGGCTTGCTCGGTACGTACATGGTGTGAGAGACAGAGGGAGTTGTACTATCGTATACGCGTCGTCTCCGAAAGGGTAAATCATACATTATACCAAATGTCGTGCGCGCGTTTGGCGTTTGATCTACCGCCAATACAAGTGGATCAGTATGGCTACTGAATCGTATTGCATCAGATGTATTAAAAAAACCAAAATATGTAAATATATATGTAATAAAAAATTGTTTTATATGCGTTACTAAAATGAAAAAATGGAATATAAAACAATTAAAAAAAAAAATTAAGACACTTGAATTGAAATTATTATGAAATTTAACCTAATTCATCTTGATAGCAATGAGATACCATATACATGCTCAAATTTTCAAAGTTAAATGATCTACGGTTTGGTCGTAACACAGATTTGTACCGACTTAAGAAGAGCTTGACTTCAACAGAGGTAATGAGTGAAAATTTCATATTTCCAATGTTTAAAGGAGAGAGCACATTCTGCAATATTACCCCATTCATTCCGCAATGAATATGTTTAATTAATTTTAGGCAGTTTAAACCAAGATTTTGTTTAATACACTGTACATTTTTTTTTTTTATTACAACTTCCAATGGTCTTTGTACTTGTTCTATTCATTGTACAGCTTCTTTTACTAATTCTAAACTTTGAACTTAAGTTATTTTTCTTGCCGAACATATTAAAACATAAAAATATCGAACATATATCGACGTACATTAAATTTAACAATTGGTATTATTTTGTTTACGAAATTTTGGAAACATAGGAAATTGTCTGTATTGAATTATTAATAAATGATAAATGTACAAATTTTCAAAATATGTAAGAAAAATAGAATTATTGATAAATATGTAAAAATATGTTCTTATGGTAAAATATGTAAAAATATTTAAATAAAATATAGTTAATTTCATTGGAAATCGATTGAAACGAATTTATCACTTAACTAGATTAATTTATCAAGTCACAGTAAAAATATTTTACTATTTAAATAGTATCAAGTAATACAATAGTTGAAAATAAAATAAAAATGCATATTATAACTTATTAATAAATGTTAAAAATATGAACAAAATAATATCAACATAAGTCGATCATCTTATAAAAGCAATCAAAATAAAGTATCATCTATGTTTAGAAATAACAAAGTATTGAACACATAAACAATTATATTTATTTTTTTTATAAGTATTATATTTAATTAATTGAATAATTAAAAAAAAATACAAAGTATTTTAAAAACTAATATATATATATATATATATATATATATTAACATTGCACATAATTCCATCATTATATTATGCATATAGTAATATAAAATATAGTAACAAAATATTTAATGTATCGAAACATACGAGTATCTTAATGAATTTATTTAATAAATTATTGATAGGAAAAAATGTGATGTATTACTTAGTAATAATTTAGTATACGTACATCGATAGTTTAGAGAAAATTTAAAAAAAAGTATTGAATACACATAAATTTATTTTTATAAATACGATAGAACACATAACCTTTTAAGTATATATGTGTACTTATGACAGTTAAACATTTTATTACAATACATAATTTTTCAATATTATATTATTTTATTATTTATGAACTTACATTTGTCTGATTAAAAATACATACGTATAAAATTATAAGGCTGTTTTACATCAATTATTCAAGGTTTAGAATAATAATTAAAGATAAAACCTAGTTTTTTTTATAAAGTATACATTATAAATTGACAATTTATTTTAGTTGATAGGTTTTACATATCGAATACAATTTAATATGTCGTCACATCTTTCCCTGCTGTTTTTTGTGTCTCTTTATTTGTATGATACATAATGAGCCCCATGGCATCCATATTCATACAATTGGGTAATTTTGTGAAATTAATAAGACCACTAAAGGAAAGTTACTTATCAAACAGACTGATTTTAGTAGGAATATCTTTAAAAACGATTGATAAATCAAATTGAATTTTACTTTTTCCATATTGAACTGGTTCAATTAATAAATAGATACTGGAAATATATTTCGGATTTACAGGCGAAGTACATTGAATGCACTTTTTATTCTCATCAAATGTACTTTTCAGAACATGCTGCATAAAATTAGAACTTTCTTTCGTAAATGTCCTGTAATAGTTATATATCATTTTATTTGGCAATAACTACAAAATAAATATTCTTTTACTTCTGTACATGAAGGAAATTTTTTAAACAATTGTTGGTACATGTAATGGACCTTACAGGAAAAATGTATTATAATTAGCCCATCTGGCATTTCATTGAATCGTTTTTTCTTTGAAATTATAGTCTTTAAAATATATGCTTGTTTTTTATACGTTTGTGAAGTTATGCTATCTCTAATTGCATCCATAAACAATTTAAATAGTATGTTTGAACTATTGATATTAAGCCATTCAGCATAAATGTCACTATCAACATAAGAGCTACACATTATTTGCACTATGTTTTTAAATGTGCATGTATATGTGACGTTATACAATTTATTATCGACTTCAATACTTCTTAAATCTAATAAACTTCCATTTTTTAGAAGTCCATCGTTCTAATTTTCATATTGCTGGTATCGTTTGAGTATAATATAGTTGGATCCTTATCTATATACGTCCCATTTCTTTTTTTCTAACCAATTTGATACCCCAATAATTTCTAATTCTCAAGTACACATAATAAAAAAACAGTAGGATCATTATACGGTGTATCTATTAAGTTTTTTTTCTACTGATAAATATTTTGATTGTACTGTTTTATTTTCATTTGCTTTTGATTCGTTTTTATCCAGATCTTTAAATTCCAATGTTTGTTGAACTTTATTTTTATCATTCTTAATTATATTTATTGATCTGATACTGTTTATTTCTTCATCACTTGATGATTTTTCATATTGAACTGTTTATTTATCTGCTAAAATATTCATTGAACCAAATGTGAAATTGATGTGTATTTTTAAAAATTTGTCAAGTCGAAGTGGTAATAGCTTATGTTTAAATATAATGGTTTTCAAATCCTTGAATAAACTTTCTGAAATACAGCTAGTTTTCATTAAATTTCCATACTTGAAATTTGAATAGTATTTCAAGTTTCTTTTTTATTCTTCAGAAAATAAATATTTACCATTGTATGTACCAAAGAAATATTGTTTTTTTAATACATATATATATATATATATATATATATACCTATATTGTTATTTTGTATCTTGTATTAAATTATTATTATTTAAGGATTACCTTTTGTTAACCAATTTTTTTTGTTTTATTATATTATTATATTAGTTTCATAATTTTGCATGTAATTTCAAATAATATAGCACTTGAAGGTCCAACCATATCTTTTTGCGGATACCTACAGTTTATTATTATATTGGAAATATTTTTGTTTAATGAATGTATTATTGCTTGAATAGTTTCTTGTATTATGAGTGTAGTGAATTTATTACTGCTTATAAGTTTATTTTTAAAATATTTACTGTTTTGTGTTTAAGAATGGATGTATATACATTTTTCAACATCAAGAGGAATCATTTTGTATCTGTATATTTTGTATCCAATTTATTAATATTATATAAATTTTATTAATATTTTATTTTATGTTATGAATGTGGTAGTTTATTATATTGTACATGTAATTTTAAGTATGGAGTCCCATTTCGTATT